AAAATTAGAAGCTACCTCAGATTACATCAAACTCACAAATTTATCTGATCTAAGGAAAATGCATTTCCACGTTGGCTGATATCTAAAACTGAGCTTTATTTTACACCTGTCAAATAAATCTATCTCTTGACCTAGACATAAATTCCATCTTAGGCATATAGTCATTTGTGCTTGTTGGGTTCAAATGAATTTCAGTGTTTTTACTAAAGGAAAGGAGGGACAGAATGCCTTATTAAGTAATGCCTTTATTTACCTTCTCAGTTGAAGCTGATTGAACTCTGGTTTTGTACTGACTCAACATTAATGAATATACATAAATATTCTCAAAGTCTGCAGAGCTAGCACAGAGGTCATTGTGTATCATTATGAAATAGGTTATTTTTATTGAGTTGCCAAAAATGTATTGATATGTTTATAAAAATTGTTCTTGCAAGTATATGTACAACAATAAGATTTTTTTAATTTCACAGACCCATGCACATAGCTGCATGGAACTGATCACAACTTTCTTCTTAATTTCTGTAAACACTGCCCAGCACAGAGCTAAAATAGCCAACCACAGAGCTCACACCACCAACATGGCCAGATGGCTAATACTGTCATCAGAATCCTGCAGTTTCTGCTACCTCCTATATTTTAAATTTAATAAGAGCAGGAATTTTCAGTCTTGTGAAAACTGCTTGACACAGAGTTGACTCTCAAAATAGTCACTGAAATATTTAAAATATTAACCCTCAATCCTAACCATCAATTAATCCTCAAATCTTAATTTTCTCTTAGTTAAATACACATAGATTAAGGTATTCATGTTTCTTCTGCATAGATTTTAATTCTGTATAGATAGCTCTTGGATGAGAATTAGTAGTCAATTAAAATATTTATTTTGTTTATATTAGAATGGGAACTCTAAAGTTTAAGGACAAAACTGGAAGGCAGATAAAATGGATCTTCTGATATGATATTTTGAAAGAGAGAATGGCATGAGGGCCGACTCGAGATGACAGAATCATAAAGCCGGTATTTATCTGCTAGGAAGATTCATTTAGCAGATGTCTTGCCATTAAAAAGATGCAGGTAAACACTTATTGTCTGAGAGGCATATTAAATTAGCTCATTGTCTCTAGGATTTACATTCTTAGTTGAGATGGTACTGTCCCCCAGGAGATGGGTGGCAATGTTTAGACATAACTTTGGTTGCTGGGGGTGGTGGGAAGACTCGATACCAGCATCTACCAAGTACAGGCTGATGATGTTGGTAAGCATTCTACAATGTACAACGAAATCTCTACAATAACAACAATGAAAAAATCATATGACATGAAATAAAAAGCATTTGAGAAAGCCTGTCTCAGATCACGACACTCTGTGGTACCAAGTGCTTAAATAAATCAATACTATTTCCAAACGGAACAAGAAGTACGAAAAGACTGTACAACGAAAGGTACCTATTAGCTCTAACAACACATTTAGTCCCTTGCTAGGGAGATGACAAATAGTAGTTAGGAATGTGGAAAAATAAACCCATTACGGCACCAAGTCAACAGGCAGAATTCCAAAGAAGCACTCTTGTATTCCCTGGGAAATAATAAAATGAAAGATGGGAAGAATCTGAGGAGGTAATGTTAGCAGGAAGAGCAACTGGTGAATCTTGTCTGTTTTGGAAGCTTTCACAATACAAAATGTCGAATGATTAATAACCTATTTGAGGTTATTTTAGGGCACACTGCCTTGCTTAGGCATGTGGGGGTGCACATATGACATTTCAGTGGCTTGCTATGAGCTTCACATTGAGTTGAAAGGAATGTACCTAGAATACACTTCTAAATAGTCATCTAATGTATTAACATTTCTACAGATAACTAAGGGGTATAAGTCCTAATTTGAAGTATTTTTTAGAATTCTAAATGAACATACTTCTCGGATTGTGGTATATTATATTTAAATTTAAAGTTGGAGGGATCAATAATTATATGTAAAGCTTTTTAATTTCCAAGAAAATGTCCTTGTTTTGCCCAGCTTTTAGTTGATTGACAAAGCAAATTCTCTAGTCTTTTTTGACCAATACCAGTGCTCTAGGCTGCTGCCAATGCACAGTCATGAACTCTCTACTATACAGAAAGGGGAACTATCAAAAACTTAGCTCTGGAGGAAAACTTGTCATGGAAGTTTTCTATTCTCGCTGCTTCATTGTTGTTTAGTTTGATCCACAGATAAAGCCCGTTCTTCCAAAACTGCATATTCAGCCTTCATTGTTTGGACAACCAGAAAGTGTTTAAGATCATCGCACCATGTCATGCCAACCACTTGCTTTTACTCAAGTGAAAGGTAGTTTCTGGTGGTGATGTTGAGTCCACTCACTCTTATTTAACTGAGCCCCCTTAGAAAGTGAATAGAGCTCATCTTTATTTAGTAAAGAAGCACCCACTTCCGAGCATCAGTTTAGTTTATTATGATTGTTGTGTATCTTATAAATAATCCCACTACTCTCTTGGTTTCAACTGCTAGAAATCTCATGAGTGAATTTCTGCATACATCCTAGAATTTATACAGGACCCTGTTGTATGAAATCTCTACAGTTATATTTATTTTATCTATTTATCAGTAAAAATTTCCCTTAAATACTTTCTATAAAGTTGCAGAGCATAAAATGTAATTTTTATCATTAGTAGGTTTCTTTGTAATAGTAATATTTTTTTCTCTTTGCCTTTGAACTTTAACTGGCAATTTGAGAAGCTGTTGCTGGAGGAAAGTACTGAATGCCAAATGGCACATGATATGAGAATTCCTCTTTTAAAAATAAAGCAGTAAAGAGATAAAGAGATTGCGTCTGTTGTTTAACAAATGAAGGAGGAGGACAAGATGTGCATGCCCTAAACTTAAACACTGATGATTGAACATACTGTGCTACTTCTATGAGAAAATAAATTATGAAGACTTTCCTTCTCAGGTGCATCTTTCCAAAGGTGGTAAAGAAACAGGAGACGAAATACAATTAAATTGAATTTAGATTTGAAGGAGCATGGAACGTTTTTCAGAATTAAGATATACTTTTCTGTGAGAACACTTATAAGATATAAAGAGGATTATTTACAAGATATATAATAATCACAATAAAAATGTTTTCTTAGAAGTGTGATATGTCCTTATTAAATGTTTCTACAAGACTTATTTTAAATTGTATATTTTTCTTCTAAAAAGCAGAATAAAATAAAATGCCTACAAAGAAATTATAGCTCCACCTTGGAATCTTTTCACCACATTCTAAGAGAATACACTTTTGAATTTGAGAGTTTATGTATTTACTGCAGTAATTTTTATTGTTAAGTCTGATATTCCCATGGAATTATATCTTCTTTACCTGTGGTTTTTCTCCTTAAACAGTATGAGTCAAACACATGACTTTAAATATCATCTGATGTGGAAAAATAAACCCATTGCAGCATGCAGATGATTTCGAACTCTATTTTTCTAGTCTGGATATTCCATCTGAATTCCAGAAACATACATTGCACTGACTATTTGACCCAGATCTTTGATAACTAATTGTATCTCAAACCAACAGGACCCTTGCTTTTACTCACACCCTACAATGAGCTTCTCTCTCCAACTTCACAGTTTTAGTCAACAATATCCTCATTTACTTGGTTATTGGGTCAAAAATCTTGATGCTCCTCTTCCCTCATACCCTTCTTCAAATCCTCTGGTAACCGTTGTTGGCCCTGCATCCACTTAATTATCACAGTTGCTACTCATGAGTTAACCATTAACATAGCCATCATCACCTGGATAGCTACAGCGTCTGCCTCCGTCGTCTTTGACCTCTACCCTTGCCTCAGCTTTCCTCCAAAGATAAATGGCGACACTATAGTGAGGAAAATGTCTCCAGTGTCTTCCCAATGTAATCACTGTCAACCAGACCCTCCTTTACTATCTCCCTCCTCAAATTCATCTGTCTTCGTTTATCATTTGCTTACTGTCCACGATATTTGACTTCCTCTTATTAATACATGCCAAGCACTTCTCATTGCTTCTGTCCCACGTCTTTCCAACCAGATCTTTTCATGATACCTTCTTTATCACCAGTTGGGGTGAGAAGCTTTTCCTGAAAATACCATCTAAAATTTGTACACATTGGCAGGCCAGATGGCTCAGTTGACTAAACGCCTGTTTAGGCAAGCACAGGGACTAGGTTCGATTCCTGGCAATACCTGCTGCACCAGCCCTGCTCCTGGGCACACAGAACTGGCCACCCAGTCCAGGCGTGGTGGTGCACACCTGTAATCCCAGTGCTGGGGAGGCTGAAAACAGAAGGATCACTACAAGTCCAAGTGTATAGTGAGACCCTGTATCAAATACTTAAAAAAAAAAAAAACAGAAAAACATTTGTACACAGATGAGTAGGTTTGTTAGTCTTTCCTGCTATCCTACCTCTGCTGCTTGACTAATTGGAAGCCCAGTACTAGCACTAGAATATAAATTGAGAATGCAGCAGGAATTACCTTTAATCTATGTAATGGATTTGACATAAAAATGTACAGAAATCCTTATCTCTGAATGCCAAATTAAACAATTTACTGTATTAATGCGTTGGCTTCTTAACAGTTTATGTCCTGATGTTTAACCTTATGTTACTTTTAATCATTTTAATCATGTTAAAATCCAAGTTTAACATGTATTAAGTATGATAGCAGAGTGGTGTTTTCTTAAAAGAAGTATTCAGATTGTTAAGGGACCTTCAGAGGCATGACAATCATGGAGATCAGCAGGCAGGAACTGAATGAAAATATATGACAGTAATCGATACAGAAAATCATGCTGTCATTTTATCTATAACTTGGATCATCAAGACAGGTAGAAATAAAAATCCGTGTTCTCTATGCATAGCCTGATTTTTGCTTTGCATCACTGAGATGGAGAAAGCCAGAAGCTTCAGACAGAATTTATCCTTTCTATTGACCATTCTTAAGTAGTAGGCTTAACAATCAAAATAAATACCTTACATATCCCCAAAGGTCACTTGGTCCCACTAATTGACCAGATACCAAATATGTGTTATGTGAGCTCGAAATGAAATAATCACTTAATGGATAAGTCATGTCTTGATAAACTTTTGTGCACTCCTCTTTAAATAGTAGACATTCAGGTGAATGTATGTATCTTGTGAAACCTTCAAGTGACATCTGATGTGCTTTTCTGACTAGAAAAAATGAAATTAAAAGGGTGCAAAATTACCATTAGTAATAGAGAAATGACATCTCCCCTGCAGACTTAATACTAAAGCAATTTTCTAAAATAATCCTTTAAAATTAAATTTTTCTATCAAATACCTTTAGTTTTTCCATATCTACATTCAGGAACATAGCATTAATCACATGATTCTTTTCTCTGGTATTTACATTTTGAAAATGTATCTGTCCATCATAAATCAGTGATGTTCCCCAAGCCATACATCTGGTTAATACTTACCCCTGTGAAGAAAACATTAAAGCTCCTCAGAAACTGTCTCCTACTAACTTACAAGTCATTGCCCTGCCCAAAGTACATATCAGACTGGCTGCTGGAAGTGCAGGCTAGCTTTCTTCAGCTGGTGAACCTTACATGGACATTCCTACAGTGCATATTTCAATGCCTGATTTCCTTTTCTTCACACTATGTTTCTAAGATTTATCCTTATAGTTCTATACATGCTTCATTGCCTTTGCTATATAGCATTCTATTGTTGAAAGCATGCTAGAATTTAGCCATTCTCTTGAGCATGAGTTTCCTCTGTGGGGCTACTGCAAATGGTGAGCCTATAAACACCCAGTGCATGTATTTGATTCAAATATGTATATGCTTCTGTTCCATCCATGTCTATAAGTCGAATGGCAGCCACTTGCATGCAATCACTTGTGGTTAATTATCTCTGAATATTTTTACTCAAAATAGTGCATACTAAAATTATTGACTTAAGCAGAATATTGGCGCTTCAGAACCAAGTAGTCTTATTCCAAACGCATTAACATGCTATATAACCTCAAAAATTGTAGCTGACCTCTCCATGTCTATGAAATGGAGAGAACCTGAGAACCTACCCCATGTATTGGCTCAATACATGTGAGTTGCTATTGCTAGTTAAGTTCCAATCAAAAGAAAAGCTAGAGGGCTGGCGAGATAGCTTGGAGAATTAAGCACCTGGATTTGATCCCCTGACCACATGATGTGCATGCTGCACTGACCCCACCCTGAGGCATACTGACCCAGTCACCGAGAGAGCACATGGTGGTCCATGTCTGGAATCCCAGGGTTAGGGAGGCTGAAAACAGGATCACTATGAGTCCGAGCTGTGTAATACAACTGTGTACCAAATGCATTAAAAACAAGGAAGAGGAGAAGGAGGAGGAGGAGGAGGAGAAAGAGGAGGAGGAGGGGGAAGAGAGAGAAAGAGAGAGAGAGAGAGAGAGAGAGAGAGAGAGAGAGAGAGAGAGAAAAGCAAAGCAAAGCAAAGCTGTTGCATATTCATTTTAAACTAGAGCGTAGAATTTTATTTCTAGGAATTTAGCCAGAAGAAACAGAAATTGAGAAAAAGACTAAAGTCTAAAAATGCTCACATTAGCATTATTTATACAAACAAAATAAATAGGGAGAAAGAAGCAAATTAAAGCTCAAAATATGGCATAATACTAAGTAGCATTAAAAATAATGTGTCATAAAAATATGCAGTGACATAAGTAAATGTTTATGACATCATAAGAAGCCAAAAAGGAAGCTTTCAAATGCTATTACTATTTTGATTTAAAATAACAGCTAGAAAAAGGGATTAAAATTTTATAGACACACAGATCCTATATTTCAGAATCACATAAACTTAGGGCTATGAGAACACACTAGAAAAGCACATCATGTATTATAACAATGATGATTTGCATTAATTTATTCTTTTTCCCTGTGCAAGTAGGAATCACTGGTCTATGTGTATATCTTTTATAAATAGGATGGAAAACAAATAACTTCATGACCTCAAAAAACACCAGATTGAAATGAGGGTTAATCTCATTGAACTTTTAATGTAAAATGAATTATATGTGTGTTACATACCAATGTGAGATGAGAGTGAGGATCCTGGCAGCGTTTGGGGCTATGAAATTGTAATTCAAATTGTTTTTAATAAGACTAAAGTGATCAAAGATCATGCAAATGAAATGCAAGGTCTTGGCTGTGTGTATGCGAGTGTCTACAAGTGAAAGCTCAACAGATGGATTAACAATGGGATGTTGTAATAAAAATGCAAACGCAATTCCAAGATGCCAGTGCTATGATATCAATATCTCTCCGTATCGTTTAAGTTACTACCGAATGGTAATAGCACCAATGTCACTTTTTAAACAGCCACTACATTAGTGATGCTGAAAGTGCCCCTCTGTTAAGATGCTTCTTTCTAGGGTGCAGGGACGTAGGACCATAAATCAAGTCACTACTTCCTTAGAGAAAAACTTCTCACTAAAAGAAAAATCAAGTGAACTTCTCAGAATGTAGTTGGCTTCCTTTCTGGTGCTGGTTCTTTGTCTGGTTGCAAGTCTTCAAAAATTTAATGGTTCTGAGACCAAAATGTTACTAGCATTGCAATCAGTGATGCGCTACAACTCTCACAACCCTCCAAAGTCTTTTCATGACACTTTCAGGAAGCCAAAAGCTTATTTCTTGCCTACAAGACCCTCCATGGTTTGATCTCACTAAACTCACTTCCTCCTCATTTTCCAAGTTCTAGAGCTTTCAGTTCCTTTGTTTCTTCACCTCAGGTCCTATTCTCCTCTTCCCTAGACCTCTGACACTTCTCCCATTTGGTCAAAAGACTTGTTTTTTCTTGTCACTTAAGCCTCAACTCTGAGGTCACCACCCTCAGAGAAGATTCTCATAACATTTACTGTATATTACATTTTTTGTTTTATTTTTATAACATTTAGTACTCCATGAAATGCTCTTTTATATGCTTAATTATTTATGTCAATCTTCTTGTGGTCCCCACAAGGGCTCTGACCCAGATGCCTACTTCTCCACTATATCCTCACTCTGGAACTATACTTGGTTATCACAAATAACTACTTGGATAATTATAAATGTATGACTGAATGAAAAAAAAATTTGGTCTTTGTAGAACTGATATGGTAGCCTAAACCAACTTTTGAAGGCAGAACTTGGACTTTTATTTCTTGTCAAGCAAACATTTTGAGCTATTCTGTCAGCTAATATCTTTAGAGTTAATTATTGTATTTCAACAATATTTTTCATACATTTTTGTAAATACTTTCTGATATGACCTTTGTTATGGAGAAATGAGCATAAATGAAATGTTTTACATATTGAAAGCAGAATGATGCCTCTCGGGTAGGTGGATATTCAAGAAGAAGGGGGTGGTGATGAAAGCAGAGCCAAAATATATGAAAGATTCCAAAATATATGATAATCATGAGCCTAAGTAGTCATTTAATTTTAAATGACTATGTTTGTTTTTTGTTGTTGTTGTTGGGGTTTTTTGTTTTGGTTGTTTTTTTTTTTTTCAGAATCGAGGATTGAACTCAGACCTTTGCACTTGCCTGGCAAGCACTTATTCAACTGAGCTATCTCCCCAGCCCTCCA